AAGGGAGGCTGCCAAGGAAGCCCGTGCCAGCCCATCCGCACAATCTGTGCCAGCTCTGGCCATACGGCCGGGCAGCTCAGCAACAGGGGACAGCACGGCACGTGTGAAGGGCAGTGCCAGGCCTCGGAGCAGCCACCAGCACTGCTGCCTCGGACACATCAAGGGGATATGAGCGGGAGTGTATTGGGCTCAGCTCCACTGAAAAAGGTAATTTTCATGAAAACCTAAAACTACAAGTTTCTAACTAGAATTTTTTGCCTCTTCTCTGCACATGAGTTTGAATATATCTAAGCAAGAAAAGGATTACATAACATTTACTTACATAATTGTTAGGATACCTAAATAGGTAATTCGTACAGTTTTAAAAGYCACCAAAATTTTAGTAGAACTATGTGTGTAGGGAACACAGCTCCTTCCATTTGTTGAGGGGATTATGACACAAAAAACTTTCAAAGACACTGTCAAATATGGTACTGGCATTGTTCTGCTACATAAGGACAAAATATTCCACATGCACTCACTTCTCAAGACTATATTAATATTATTTATATTCAAATTGTATAAAGTTTTCCCTTTGCTTATTTTATGTTTCAAAATCTTTCCTGACACTTCAGATATGTAATTTCTGTGCAACATGTGAAGTATCACAGAGTTCTTCAGCTACAAGACATCACATCCTACCGAAGAAGCAAAGAGCAGAATGACATGGCACCCCATTAAGCTTTTAGCATCTCACGGCCACATCCATYCCCCCAAAATTACGTTTAATGCAATGCCAGAAGTTATCAGAAAGTGTTGCATGAACTACACCTAACAAAGATCACAAAAGGTACTTAGAAAAGCCAACTTTGCATTGCTTAACCACAGAGTAAGCCATAAGCCTGAGCAAAAACTGAGCGATTTCTAGATTTAAATAAGCTGAAATACAGTGTGCTACACCAGAGGACACAACTCGTGCTTGTACATACATTGTTAAAATCTCCCTTTCTGCTTTCATTTCCATCACGCAAGTCTAAGTGGTTACCAGACTGTTTTGCACAACAGCTGTTTTGCACAACAGCTACTTTTCCAAGTTGATATCATAGCGCTTTTGTTTTTCTTCTAAGAAGAGCATTTCTGTAACACTTCTGTAGCAGAACTCCTTGGMTTTCCCTCCTATAGGCTAAACTGCAAGTTACACTTAGGCAGACTGCAGAAACACTTCAAAAGAAAAGTAATTTCATAATTTTAATRTTTAAAATACAGCTCCTGCAATCTGCCACCTCAAAGTTTTACGTATCCTTTGAAAATAGTGGATAAAAGAGAGGTAGCATTTTATCACAAGTTTAGTTCCAAAACCTGGTATTTTCAAAATGGAATTTGAATAGTCACAGTGGGGGCTGTATTYCCAAAACCCCAGCTGCCAAACCAGCACTGGACTTAAACTGAGACCAGACCTAACCATAGGATGACCAGAGCTCTCAACCTTGTCAGGACCGAGGTCTGAGAAGGAAAGATAATGGCTAATATAGGTAATGRAGCCCAAACTGTAACTGTTTAATTTCTTATTACCCGTTATGATTTCTGTTTTCCCTCGTCATCTCTTTATACCATTTTTTCCTGTTACACGTAGCTTCTTTTCWCCTAATATGTACTATGGTATTCTCACTCTACTTTTGCCTATTTTCATCTTTGGGCCTGCCTTCTTGTTCCCAAATTATAATTACTTGATCCAAACTAGTGTTAATCCTGGTTCAGGCCTTCAGAGGTAGCAACCTACTGTCAGTGATGTACAGATGAGCTGACACCCCAACTACTATCAGTGTGGTTCTGGGCAATGAACTGGGGAAAAGAAAGGCTAACTGGGAGAGGCACTAATTAGGAAAATCARTAACAAGCAACTATGATACATGACCAACTAACAGGAAAACCCTCAAGCCTACAAATAATAACTTGTGATGACAGTTTCATCAGCTTAGCTGCCTGTCTGCAACTCATGTAAATTCTGCTGACGTTTTACATAGACAGAACTATAGAAAACTTCCTGCAATCTGAGCAATAAGAAACAGTAGGACACTACCAGGGGGTATTTTGGTTTTTGTCTATTYATAAAACTGGATATTACCTTAATTCTCACTAATGCAACATTTGATCACAGTAAAATTTCAGTTAAAATTCTGGATGGAGAGCAGCAGAAGAAGAAAAAGGAAGAATGCTAAGGAATAAAATCTCCAAACACTTTAATTCAAACAACAGACCAGTGCTGTTCCATTTACATCTTTCATTAAATSAAAGATTTAAAAGGAAAATCCTGTAACTAACAGTTTCTTTTAAAATGCCGCCACACAAAATGATAGGGAATGTAAGTTTTCCAAGTCACCCCCAGACGTAGGGAGCACAGAAAGCAAGTGTTTAATACTGAAGCCTACAACAATCTTCACCCCCTCTTGAGGATGGCAGAATCTACATAAGGCAATACTTTTAAGTCACACACAACTTCCTTGTACTGCTTTTACTGATGCTTAAATATCAACATCACTGTAYCCAGAGTTTTCCTCCTGATATCTGAGCTATTCTGCTCAGAAAAGTGTGTAGAAATTGTACCTCAGCCAAGAGCATTAATATTCTGGAGTTACCCACATCTAAACAAATTTCTTCTCTYATTTCCATTTTGACCTTTTCCTAAGTCACCTGTTACACTGTGAACAAGCTCTTACTCTTCCAATATCAAATTTCTTCCCCTTGCTACTACAATACAAAAGCTACTCCTGTAAAGCTGTCCTATTCCTCGATTCTATCAGCTTTTCAGTCTTCCGGGGCTGAATGGCCAGCATTTCCTGAGACGTGTCCCTCACCCTTGCTTTGCAATGTACACAACCTTACAGCTTTTCTCCAACAGATACTCCTTTCACATATAATACATGTTAATAACTACATTATGCCTTACATTTTAATTACTTAAAAGATTAGAGAAAAAATATTTTAAGACTACGGGAAGTCCACATCCACTATGGCTACAGAGCACAAGAACTTCCAGGTCTCAAAGCTGTTCTTGAACACTACCTGATTTACTCAWTAATTTAAATACAATCTATACTGCATAACTGTATGAATGCATCCCTATTACTCAGGCAGCTGTTGGTACAAATATGTATTTTGTACAGTTCTGCATTTTGTACAGCTCTGCAAACACTTTATTATACGAAACTAACCTATTTTCCAAAAATACCACCTGTGCTTTCAGTGCCATAAATATTAATCTTTACTTACTAGAAACTTGTACACATCTGCAAACTATACAATGTTCAGGTTAGTAAGCTTCATCTAGATTTTTAATTCCTGTTTTAAGACAATAACAAAGTAAGTCTATATATGCCAGCAGCATCTAAGTAGYATATTGGCAACAGACTGCAAGGCAGTATTTATTTTTCAAGTTCTATATGTGAGACATGTACTTAACAGCAGAAATAAGCCTGTGTATTTCTTGAAAGAATCACGGAATGGTTTGCGTTGAAAGAGACTTGAAAGATCACCTAGTTCCAACCCCTCTGCCACGGATAGTGACACCTTTTTCTAGACCACGTTGCCCAGAATGCCATCCAAGCAGGCCTTGGATGCTGCCAGGGATGGGGCATCCACAGGTTCCTTGGGCAACCTAYGCCAGTGCCTCGCCACCCTCATAGGGAACAATTTCTTCCTTATATCCCAGTTTGCCCTCTGCTAGTTTAAAGGCATTCCCCCTCGTCAGAAGTCTCTCTCCAGCGTTTTCGATAAYGTCGTTGTCCTGAACAGCCCAAACTTGCCGCGGTGCGCTGATGCCGCGCCGGCTCAGGAGCCCCGAACGCTGCCCGTGCCTCACGAGCCGCCCGCGCGGCACCGCCCGCCCGCCCCGCCATGGCGCCAGCCCGCCCGGTACCTTCCAGGCCAGGAGCAGCACGTTCATGATGGCCAGCAACGGGCAGGGGCCATTCTCGTTCTGGGTGATGACGGGCGTGTTCTCCTCCTTCCAGCGCACCCACTTGATGTGATAGACCGACTGCCCCGGGAAGCGCTCCTTTGAAGCGGAGAGAAGCTGGGAGCCCGCCGCCGGCCTGTCCTCTTCGGGCTCCGGGGCCGGGCCCTCCGAGGAGGCCCCCGCCACCACCGCCTCGTCGGCGTCGCTGTTGAGCTCGGAGCTGCTCGGGCAGCAGGAGTGCAGGTTGGAGAAGGACTCCAGCGAGTCCAGGCTGCGGGACTCCTCCCCCGGTGGGCTAGGAGCGCCGCTGCTCCCGGAGCCGGCTCCCGCGGGACCGCTCTCCGAGGCGGGCGCCGCTCCGGGACTCTCCGGCACCGCCAGCCCCGCGCCTTCCGCCGCCGCACCACCCTCCGCGGCCCGGGAAAGGGATGCGGTCCGAGGGGCCGCGGCGGGAGCGGGGGCCGGTGGAGGGGAAGGGCTGCGCCGTCCGCCGCCCTCCTTGGCCTCCCTGCAGCCGCCCTCGCCCGCCGCTGCCTCTCCCAGGCGGAGCCGGCTGGCAGCGCCCCCGCCGCCCGTCTGCAGCGAGCCCGGGGGCGGCGGGGGCTGCGCCAGGCTTTCCATGCCCGGCCCGGCCGCTCCGCTCTCTATTGGCACCGCAGCGGCTGCGCCTCCGGCCGCAGCGCCCGCGACGCCATCACAGCAGCGGCGCCGACTCCGCCCCGCCGGGGACGTGCGGGCGGGGGTGGAGCGGCCGCGGGTCACGGCGGGGCCCGGGCGGGGGGGCCGGGGCGGGGCGGGCAGCGGGAAGGGGAGGGAAACAGGTGAGTTTGGCTCTCCCAAGGGTTGTCGGTGCTTTGCCTCGCGGTCTATTAGGCAGTCGTACTATAAAAGATACGGCTGCGGTGAGCGTAATAGATAATATTAAGGACTGAATAGAGTAATTATGTTTTCTAGAGAAAGAGAGGAAATTTAGGYTACATATTAGGAAGAAATTCTTTACCGTGAGGGTGGTGAGGCCCTGGCACAGGTTGCASAGARAGGCTGCAGATGCCCCATCCCTGGAAGCGTTCAAAGGCCAGGCTGGATAAAGCCTTGAGCAATCTGGGATAGTGTGAGGCGTCCCTGTCCGTGGCAGTGGGTTGGAACTAAGTGATCCATAAGGACCATTCCAACCCCTTAAYATTCTATGATTCTGTAAGAACGAATGTGGGTGTATTACTCATACTTTACCTCAATGAACCTTCTCTCTACAGAAATCTTCAGCTTTTAATCACAAATTTTAAATAGTCTTGGGATGATAAGGATTTATCCTCTCATTTTATTCTCAGCAGCTTTCTGATTTGAACTCTGTAAACACTTTGCATCAACTTCTGCTGCTTTACCTGAGGTACATTCACTGTAATTTTATTTTCTATGTGCATTTCYATGACACCTTTTCTCACCTATAACAGTGTTCAGAGGGAGGGTTTTTTTTATTCTGCCATGGTAGTAGGAATGGGAAAGCACGAATATGAAGGATTGACAGTAAACTGAGAAASTTGTCACAAAGCCTATTACAAAAAATAAATCTTTGCGATGGTGCAGTTGATGAAAGCATTAGTATATGGACAAACAAGACAGGAAACATTTTGTTCAGATGGCTCACATTTGAATTTCCATGGTGGCGGTTGAATTGCGAAGGTTGTTCAAGTCCCTGTTCAGTGGGGACACTGCAACACTCCACAACCTGTAGAACATTGGGAGAAGTCGGTGACCTAAAAGTCTGAAAGTAAGTACATTAGTTTGTGTAAAGAAAAAATATGCATCTGGTAAGGGGATGAAGGAAACCAGAGTAAAACTCTAAAAGTAAATTAGTTTTCTACAAGCTAAAAGCAAGGGGACACAGGAGAACAGCCCGTGAAGTGCGTTCGCAATTCGGGACGGTGAAGGCTCCGACAGCCCCGTCCGCGGGCGCGCCGGAAGCAGCGGGAGAGGCCCCGCCCCGCGGGCTGTGGACCCGCCCCATGTGGCTCCGTGGACCCGCCCCTTCCGCCGTGTCCCGCCCCTTCCGCCGTGTCCCGCCCCCTTGCGCGCGGGGCGGGGCGAGGCGTTCCGCGCGCTCTGGGCGTGTCCCGCGGCCCCGCCCCACCGGCGGCGTCTGGCGCGCGCGCGGGCGGAGGGAGCGGCGGCGCGCGGAGCGGARGGAGAGGGGGCATCGCTGCCGGGAGAGCCGCCGATCCCGGCCGTTCCCAAGCGATCCGCGGCCGTTCCGTGGGCGGGAACAGTCCTCCGGAGCGGCGGGGGACAAAGCGGAGGGAGGCGCCCAGCTCGCCCCTCCCCATCCCGGCGCCGGCTGGGGCGGATGTGCCGTGGGTAGGCGGCGGCGGCGGGGCCTGCGCCCGGCGGAGATGGATCTGGCGGGGACGATAATCCTACTGTGCTCCTGCGCGGCGGGCGCTGGAGGTGAGGAGCCGCCCGGCCTCGCGGGGCCCTGCTTTGGAGCCGTCTCCCTTCCTCTCTCCCTCTTTCTTCCCTCCCCCTCTCCTGTCTCCGGCGCTCGGGGCCGGGGGCGGCGGGCCCCGTTCTCCGGGGCGCCCCGGCGCCAGGGCCGCGGCTGGGCCGCCGGCGGGGCTCCCCGTTCCGCCCGCCGCTCCAGCCCGCCCGGGCCTCTCCCCCGCCGCCCGGGGCCGGCCTGGCTCTCCCGCCCCTTCCCCGAGACTTTCCCCGCCGAGGACCGGGTCAGCTGCCCTCCCCTCCTCTCCCCCTCGGGCCCTTCTCCCCTCAGAGCTCGGCTGTGTTTTCCTCTCCCGGCTTCGCTTCTGTCCCCAGGGACTTGCCGCCTCGTCCCGGTGGCCGTGTCCCGGATCCCTTCCCTCGCGGAAGGGAACCTCGCGGCCGGTTCCCTGTCGCCGAAACCAGGAAGCACGGGCAGGCAGAAAGTTCATCTTGAGGAAATAAAAGACGAGCCCGGGTTTTTCCCGAAGTGTGACCGCGACTTACAGGAGGGTCCCCTCTCTCTCAGGCCGGGGGGAAACTCGATTGTGTTTATGAGGAAGTGTAACCSTATCGACTCCCGTTAGGAGTTGCTTCTCGGCTTTAGGAACTGGACAGTTTCTCCTCTGCGCCTGGTAATGTTTAATTGGTCAAGTCGTGGCAGGGAAAACAAATTCGACTTTGTACAAGAATAGACATRGGAAAGGGTGGACTTGCGAGGGTGTTTCTAAGAGAACTGTGGGTGGAACAACTGATAAAGACTTCCTCTATTTCAATTGGCACCTCTCCGATTTATCTGGGCTCTGCCTCTGTGTACATCAGTATGTAGGTTTATTAACAAAGAAGCCAGTGCAGAATGCTGGTCTTCCACACAGTCTCAAAAAGTAACATTAAAATGGGAAACTTCAGTTTATTGTACTTGTGCCTARACTGTGAGATAAAAAGCAGGGTGATTTGCATGGTCAGAAGCCCTGCYGTTATTTATATGATTAGGAGTGGGATGCACAAAAGAATTTCGGTTTTTCTTTATAAATTCTTGTAAGCTATTGAGATATTTCAGACTTAATTGTTGGCATACTTTCAAGGCCTCTTTGTTTGCTGAACTAAATGGTGCTGGCACAGAAATAACTCAAAATAACTCATTAACCAGTTGTGAGGCTTGTTTCCACTGTTTATTCGAGGCAGGAAGTTGTGCCTTAAAAATCATAGTAAACATGTCTAGTACAGTCCTTTGTATATATGGAAGAAAGTTAATGTTTTTCAGAAATTCCTAGATTTTTTCTTGAGAGAAGAATGGGTGCCTTCAGCATTTCTGGGTAGTAGGAAGCACACCTCAGTAGCAGGTAGCAGAAGTACAAGTCTTTGGTGTGTAGCAGTGCAGGTAAATCTTAAAGAAAGATCTATAATGCTGGATGGAAATCTAGTGATAATGCCAATRCACATGTCTGAAGCATCCAATGGAACTATTTTGGTAAAAGTCTGAATATAATTATGAAARATTTGCTGTAATTCTATGTTAAATTAAATAGAGCCTTTTAAGTTTAGGAAGGTCTGTTTTACCTGTGTTTACATTTCTAGAATTTCTTATATACTATAAGCGTTTTTATTTATTGGAAGATAGAGTTCTTCATTTGTGTGTTTTTCCCTCTAGTCAGGCATTAATATCTGTGTGGAAAGAGCAAGTTCATGATTTTTAAAGAAATTACTGWGAGAGCAGTGCAAGTTGTAAAGAACTGAAAAGAACCCAACAATTTACATTTAATTCATGTGCAGTGCAACTTGTGCCCATTAATTCTACACAGATCTTGAAGCTAAAGTTGCAAAGTTGTCTAGTTTTMAGCCACTTAGGTATTAAATAGTAATAATTTTGGAGATTTCATTAATCTGCACTTTTAAAATTATTGGGGTTTTGTGAGTTGGGTTTAAGGTTGGAATATTTTTACAGGATACCTGAGTTTGAACTCTTTCAGACTTATGCAAAGCTTTGTGCCTGTGTACTGTGCAGCCATTGTACATATTCTATTGTAATAGACTTCAAATAAAAAGGTATAGATTCACAGAACCAATTGTAATGTTAGCTATAGCTAAGTCTGAATCATAAAAAAAACTTTTAAAATATGATGCAGCATAATTKGAATGGCTTATTTGAGAAAGTTTAGTAAAATCTCTTTTGTTTGAAAAAATCTGTTGTAGTTTATATTGTTCTTAAAATTATGAGGAGAATGCAATCAAAAGCAATCAGTAGTGCTGCTGCACTGGTGAAGTGTACTGCAGTGTCTGTCTTGGGCTGCTGTATAGCTTTTAGTGTGTTATGTTTGTATGATTAAAGCAGACACATTATCAGAAGTTTGGCTTAATAGGCCCAGAAACATTCTTGATCAGGTTTTGGCATTTGATCACTTTTAGTGTTGTCTTTTTCTTTCTTTGCTTCCACTGCATAAATATTACCTTCATAAAACCGATGGTCCAGTAAGTCAGTTTGAATACTGTTTAAATAGTGTGAGAAGGAAAACCACACGTTTTATTTTGTTTTGTTCCTGTTAGTAATTGGGGAAAGCTAGAATTTAGCTTCTAGTATATGGTGTCTACTTGAAAWATGATAAATGTACCTTGACTTTTGAGAATTTATTTTTTTAAGTGAATCTCAATGTTTTCCCCAACACCCCTGGAATTGCTTGTCTTAAGGAATCTAATCACTCACTGGTGCTGTTATGAATTTGATGTGTGTAAAGTGGTACTAAGTTTGGGCAATATTATTGGCAGCTTTTTGTAGMCTGCCTTCTTGTTACACGTGATGAAGATGCATGCAGGTATGTTAATCAATACTTAATTATCCATACATAATGATGTTCCTAGAGGAATGGAAATAAATTAATCTCTCCTTCTATGTAAGTGTCATTAAAAAAAAGGGAAAGGGGAATGGAAAACACAAAAGAGAACTGTTGAGACCTCTGAAAAGCTTAGATTTAACAAGAGTGAAYATGCTTTGGCTAGGTGATCAAATGCTGAATATCATTGCAAATCGATGATAAATAGTTTGTTTTCACTCGTACAACATGCTCTTTTATGTTGCTAGGACTTCCAAGTTGTRTCTTAGTGTCTTGTGCTTCTGGATATTCAACTACCTATTTCCTAGTGAGCATGGGAGAATTCTGCTTTTTTCTGGACACATGGGGGAGTTGTGGGAAGGCATTTATGAGCTATCAGCATCTGAGTGATTTAGTTTGTGTTCTTACTATAAATTGAGAAGAACAGTAGCCTTCATTAATATGGCATCACTCGGCCTCCAGCATTTATTTAGAGTTTAAAATAAAAACATTGTGAGTTTTATATGGTTGATGAGACAGTGTCTAGTCAAGACAGCTTTCAGATGGTTGTTTCAGAAATGCCTATGGTAATTAGAAATAAATAATAACAGGCGTTTAGCGAGCTACTTTGAATTACTGTTGCCCAAAAACCTGARCTTGCAGTTTGTTTATACTTTTAGAACATCATAAGGTTCGACTTTCACAGTATGGCAGAGCCACTGTACTGAGTTGTCTGGTGGTCCTGCCCTGGCCATGCACTCCCACCTCTCCTCCTGGCATAAAGAGTCAGCCCAGAGAAAAGAAATACTTCAGTTCCTGCCAGATGTGTAACTTGTTTTATTGAGCAAACCCAGGCCTGATGGGAAAGAAGAACTGGGACTTTCACAGGGTGGAGAGGAAGAAGGTCAATAAAAAGCAGACATCTGCTTACACTGGTGTTGCCGTACTGTCTGACCATGCCCTAAATGCGAGGCCTCAGTGAAGGGAAGTGATCCTGACTTCACATCTTGATTACATGTTTTTCTCTCATCAAAAACACTTGACCAGAAAAGAGAGAATATTTTTTCAGCAGAATCTAGTGCAGTGCAAGGGAAGAATAGAAATAGAGTAGGTGTTAAAGGGCAGCARGGCTGCTGGCATTTWTGAAATGGCAGCCTAAATAAATTCTTCRGAGGAGTCCAAGTTACTTGGACCTTAAATCCAAGACCAAGATATATGGTAGGATTTCTGKCTTACTGAATCTGAATGCAGTGTACGTTCTTCAATGTCCCATKTAAAGGGAGCTTTTTTCAAGATTGATAAACCCTACATTGAAAACAATTTGAAGCAAAAGTTGCCTTGATTATCTTAATTAAAATGATAATAATAATTCTCTACAAGATGTTTATCACATGCTGGCATTTTAAATCTGCAAATTAGTGATGACATAGTAATAAGACTTGTCTGGTGAGTTAGCTTGGCTTCTGAACAATTTCTGATACTCCATCAAGTCATATTCTGTGCTTTTTTCGTGCACCAACAAACSTGAGTTGTGTTTGAACTATTTGCATTTGTCATGCTAATCTTAATCTGAGTAGTTTAACGTAAACTTCAACTTTTAAAACAGTGCATGCTTGATTTATCCTCTTATGGGAAATTAAATGTTCTCTTTTACAATAATGCATATAAAATTAATAGATACTTATATTTACATGGGTAAACTTGCAGTACTATTTATTACTAGTTATGCTTTTGTGCATGGAACTATCTTCCTTAAGAATTTCCTGCAGAATCTTCACAGACATTGAGATTAGTTTGAGGAACCTGTAAATCTCTGGGCCCTCCTCCTAGGTGGGGATGACATTTGTCAGKAACTCCGCTCTATAACAATAACTTTTCAAAAAGGTGATGAAGCCTTGCAATRGTGTCAGCCAGCCCCCTCAGCACTGCTGGATGCATCCCACCTGATCCCATGGATTTCCGTATGTCCAGGTGGCTGAAGTGTTCCCCAGCTCATTTCATCTGCTGTGGGTACTGCTTCACTTCCACAAACTAGGAAGGGTTTGTCTGGGRCACAAACTCTTCATAGCTTTCCCATGGCAAATAATTGACCAGGGAGTCATTGAGCACAACCCACCAAACAGCTGTAACATGTAGATGCTCACAATGTGCCAGGAAGATTATAGCTAAAATCACATGGGTGATCCATTTTATCCTTTGCATAAGCCTGGTTAGAAGGTGAGATTACATGCCTCCATACCTGTCCAGTGGGATTTGTTTGTTCACAACAACTGTAGATACTTTACTTCAGTCTCTCTGGGGATACTGAAGAGTTGTTCATCCGCATACACTAAACATCTTTCACTGGACTGTCACACTGAGACATTTGCCTAAATGCTCTGCTGGATTCTGTTTAAAGTCCTTCCTTGTATTTAGTTCTAAGCCCATGAGAGCAAAGCTTCATTCCTGCGGGGAATCTGTCATAGGAAAYGCCACATCTAGTTTAGCAAGTCTTTAAAAGACTATACTCTCAGGTTCAAAAGCCATCCCCTTGTCACCCTCCGATGTCTCTATCCTAAAGGGTTTCTGTCTCCTAGCTTAGTGTTTAAGTGAAGTATAATGTCTCATTCCACCAGATTGCCTGGGAAGGCATCATGCTGTCTTTGTTCCTGGTAAAATGAAAAATGGAATTTGTAGAGCAGTTCCCATAAAATAGATTTTAGCATTCATGGTTCAGTGTTTCTTACTACAGGCTTCCTGATTGTATCCTTAATTGAAAAGATCCTTGTCATGCAATCTCTATGAAAAAAACCCAAACCCCTAGTTTTTAATTTACTGAAAATAACTGTAGTAGTTTGTAACAGAGACTGGGATCTGGTGTGTGCTATCATAATGATTTCTTGGACTGTGCCACTTCCAGATTCTGTGATAGACTTCTTCCTTTCTGGTGCAGAATCTTCTAATTACAGAAATGTTGTACCTGCCTCATGTACCTCCATGAAGTTTTCTTTCCAGCCTCAGAATTTTTCCAGCCTCAGAATCTTGTGTTACCAAGGTTGAGCTACTTATTAAGCTACCTTGGGTGAAGAAAATRATCCCTTCTGATAGGTAGCTGGTTTGATTAGGTTTGTGATAAGTTGCAGACTTTGAATGCTGTAGCAATGTTGATGTTATAGAAGCTTCTAGAAGTGAAAGTGTTCATTTTGAAGCCTGACATCCCTTTTTGGAGAAGTCATAATGCTCTAGGTGGTTTGCAGCTGCTGTGCTTGAGCAAGAAGAGAGCAGCAGGAGTGTTTAAGTGTTTGCTATGAGAGTACTTAAAACATGAGGAGTTCTTTAAGTTTTGGAGAAAGGGAAAAGAAAGTGTTGTTTCCCTGTGTGATCACAGAAAGCGTATATATTTTTTGTCAAGAAAAAAGGTTTTTGCTTAAAACCCTTTCTGCTTTGCCTTAGCAGAAAGAACAGCTATAAAACTTTTTAATGTCAGTAGTCTTTTACTGTCTTGTCACAGTAGTTAGCACTTAAAAACTATTCTTTGTGACTCAGTTAAATGCAGTCTCTCATCTTTTCATGTGGTCATGAGACCTGGATTGAGTGCCAAGTGTTATTGGGTCTTCAATAAGTTGTCACACTTCAAAACTTTTTTTCTAGGTGCCTGAAGCTATTCAAAATGTATCTTACAATGCTGAGAAGAAAAATGGTCTGTCACAATTTTAAGGAGTGCATTATTAAAAGCTTCCTACCACAGAAAAGTTAAAGATAATTCTGGAGYGCAGAAGTTTACACATTCTGCAGTGTACTAACTCCAGTTTTGATAAAGTTCTTAAAGTGAGATATTACTATTGTATTCTAGATTTATGTTCATTTGACAGTTAAAACTTTAAGTTTTAGCTTWTATCAGTTAATTTGAAAGCTTGTTTTCTTTGATATTGACACTTCTGGATCATATACTTGGGATTAGAAAGCATGTATCTGTAGTCWGGCACATGTACATTGTGCATGGTCTCAGGCTAATCTGGTTTGTAGCAGTTCTTGGGCTATAGGAGGTATTTATGCTTCATTTTGTTGTGATTATGTTGGAAGTGATGAGAGAAACATCAGACAGAGACAACATCCTCAAAACTCCTGCAAGTTACCSAACCTTTGCAATGATTAGAATTCATGTAGACTTTCTTGAATCAAACATTTAAAACGTTTTAAGACACCKAAGACACTTTCCTTTCTGGAAAGCTGAATGAGAATGGACTTGTATTTTGAGACTAAGAGTGAGTGGAAATGAGAATCAGTTTTTGTTGTTGGACTTTATTTGCAGTCATGAAAAGTCAACATTTGCAGAAGCCTACAGTACTGTGAGAAAATTTGAATGCGATTTCTCAGCAGTATAGCATTAATTGAATTTTAAGCAGATATGCCAGTATCATCTTATGTACATGGCTTTTAAATGCAAGTGATGCATTTGAAAGCATTAATTTACTTAGTCATCTCTTTAGATATCTGAAGAGAAATATCACGTGTAGTCTCTGAGCACTCACATTTAGGTTGATTTGAAGTTCAATGGATTATGACATACTAGCAGAATTCAGAGTTCTTCTGGTTTTCTCCACAAGTTATGTTTTGGGGTTTTTTTAGTGACTAGTGTCTCTTCCTCCATCAGGATAGGAGGGTCAAAATCTTCCCCAYTCTCTGCAATGAACTCATATTAATATGAGTCATAAATATTACCCTGGAAGGAAGTGTACAAAATAGACTGAACTGAACCTATGTCTTTGRAGTTACGTTTTAATAAAGCTTTTCTGTGTCCTAGATCATTCCATGTGATACAAAATGTGTTGCTAGGTGGCATGATTTGCTCTTGATTTTTCTGGGTATTTCACATGTAGAATGCGGACATTCTGAGCAGATACTGTGGTGTCATGACTGCMGAGTGAAGTTGGAAGCATCATTTCAGGGAACTTGAAGAAAGATACTCAGCTGTTGCAATCATTTTGAATCAGGAGTGTATTTCTGAAACGTCTCTCAAGCATTCCTGTCTGCAGTGATATAATTTGTATTATGGGGTAGCTTTGGAGTAAATGAACTATGCTTGTTTTGATTGAACTTCAAGTGGAAGATGCCTTCCAAGGTCCACCCGATGCACTTGGAGCTGCAGATTGTCTGTCCAGTCTGTGGGACCAGAGTGAAATGAATCTGAAGTGTACCAAGGAGAAAAAAAAAAAAAGCTAAAATGTATATAATGTGGAATTTGGGTCACCAACTGCTTTGCCCCACAGATCTGCTGTGCCTGGTAGTGTGGTTACMACCTTGCTTGTCTCTGTTTTTCAGGCCAGTATGGAAATCCTCTAAATAAGTACATCAGACACTATGAAGGATTGTCCTACGATGTGGTTTTGTTACACCAAAAACACCAGCGTGCCAAAAGAGCAGTGTCACATGAAGATCAGTTCTTGCACCTAGATTTTCATGCTCATGGAAGGTTAGTGATATTTTAAAGGATGTTTGTTTTAAATATTTTATTCATATGTGTTTTAATTATAGTGAAATGTAAAGGATGAAATACAACCATCAGAATAAGATTAGCTAGCATACACTAAAGTGCACTTTTTACATTTTCTATGAAGTATTTTCTCTCATGTCCAGTTTAAGTATGAAATTGTTGCTGGTAAGCACTTAAACAAACATCTGATGGTAGCTATCAATACAGCTTGAAGCTTAAACATTGGAATAATACTGGAACAGCATGGTAGTTGATTCTGAGTTTATAATGCAGCTTTGGATTTGTTTGGTTTTGTTTTGTTGTTTTTTTTTCCCAAAAATAGTGACAAATTGCCTGAGGAGATTTAATTGAGAAAAAGTAAAATTTCAAATTGCATATGAAGCTACAAAATAGGCCAGAAGAGTCCTCTGTTTTGYGTGTACTGGTGTTATCTGATTTTTTGTGCTGTTGTGAAATTTGCAGATTATTTGACATGGGCAACGATTAGTACTGTTACAAGACATGCTTTGCCTTGCATTCAATATGTAAGATACAGTACAAAAGTTAGATATTCAGTGTGACCAACTGCAGTGTAATTTGTAGATTTTCACGTAGGGAGATCTTGTTGCAATTTAGAATTGTCTGCTTTTTGTATAACCCAGGAAAAACAGGAAGAAAGTTAAAACRCTTGTGTCTGTATCTCTGTTTCTATGACTCCTTGCTTTGCAGCACCACTGTCTTAATGTATTTTAGGAATGTGCAATGCCCTTGCTTTTCTCGTTATTTCAGTTACAATTTAAGTACTTAGGACTTGATAAATAAGTGTTTAGCCATATGTAGAACCACAAGAAGTTTAACAGAGAAAATGTAAAACCAGGTCTCCTGAATCTATTTCGGATATTGTTTTATGAGTAAATGTTTTGCTTTTGTGCCAGCTTGTCATTTCTTCAGGGAGTGTTGTTCCTGGAGGTTTATGATGTAATAATGATTGCATTTCAGTGCATACTCCCAGAAGGCTAGCATTAGGGTTGTATTTCTAAATGCTGTAGAACTGCAAATCCTGAATTTGAAGTCATGTCCTTAAAACCATGTTTTCAAGTGTGATTTCTAGTCCACGTGTCCTGGTTTTACTCAGTCTGGTTTTTGGTGGTGGGGGGATGGGACCAAAAAAACCACGGCCTTACGCTGCAGAAGAATGTCATGGTTTGAAYTTGACCGAAAACCAAAAGCACYGCACCCACGATGTTCCCTCCCCCCTGCCCCAAAGAGGCAGAAGGSAGAGCAAAAGCCCAATTAACACTAAAATTTATGGCTTTTAGATAACATAATTGRGAGAAATATACGTATATGCTCCAGAAAATGGTCAGACAGGCTGAATAACTTAAGTTGCAAAATAGATTTATTACTAAAAAACTACTAAGAAAACTACTGAACTGGGGAGGGGAACAGAAATAGGGAAAAATTTGCAAAGAGAAGAAAATAAAAAAACGGACATTTTAAGGCACCTGTTATTCTTTCCRGGGGACCTGTCTCTTTCTCAGGTCACCCCTCTCCAACCCCCCATGTCTTCCCGTGTGCAAAGGGGGGCCAGGGATGAAAGTTTAACATAGATCATAGGAGAAGAGTCCAAGCTGTGGAAGTTCTTTTCCCAAGAAACAGTCAGTGTATAACTGGTGAAAGCATGGGATTCTTTTTCTTTACCTCGTGGGAAAGGAAAACAGTCCCCCAAGGCTGGCTGCATCATTTCGGCAGCGTAAGGCCACTATCACAAATCTCCTGGCAGAACACAGCTTCTTCTAAACATCCACTTACTTCAGACGTGGGGCGGGGGCATCTCTTCCTCCCCGCAGAACACAATTTCTTCTAAGCATCAACTCGCTTCAGACGTGAGGGGGGGCCAAGCCTCTTCCCCTTTTTTAGCTTATGATCAGTCCAGTCCTCCAAGGCCAGGTTTTTCTCAGAGCAAGGTCACTCTCTTTTCTATACAGGTCTCCCAATGAAGAAATTGTCTTTTTGAGAACAGCTTGTTTTCTCCATGTTCAAGCACCAGCACAGTCTTCTCCTTACTGTGATCTTGGGTCTCCATTTTCTTCTTACATCTCCTCACCCTCCTGCTCTGTTTTTCCCCCGTGCATGATACTAAAACTAAATATCACCAACCTAAAAACTACATGGCAGCCGCACTCTATCTTATTTTGAATTCTTCTTAAGTACAAGACCAAACGTCATCACAGAGGTGYAACTGCCTGTGCAATTGGCCCAGGCCTGACCAGCAGCCTGTCCATCAACCTCAGAGCCACAATGGATTGGTTCTGAAACACAGGGGGYAGGRYTCCTTTTGCTGGAGCAGAAGGAGAAAGCTTCTAGAACTTTGTCACAGGAGCYATCTTTGTGGTTTTTTCAGTCCCATCCCCCCACCACCAAAAGCCAGACCGAGTAAAACCAGGACATCAGGGAATTTTATTGTTTAAAGAGTTATAATGCTGCTCTCTTTGCTGCAACTGGCAGTCTCTAGTCTTCCCTTATTAAATTGTTCTAATAAACAAGACTGCAGAGTAGAATGCTTCAGAGAGTCCTCACAATGGAAACCTCTCTACTTTTAAATCTCCAGCAAGGTTACGAGACAGTGAAGTTAAGTTTAAGTGTAATGCTGCTGCTTCTAAGCTGCAGGCTGGTGGATGATTTAGGCTCACTGAAGTGTGTGCTGATGCAGAAGAGAAACCGGCCTAACCACATTCCCAGCATCATCTTTGTGCTAACACTGGTAGTGTCAAAGCCTCGCAAGGAATAGCATCTCGAAACAAATCCATCTAAAAATTATTKGGAAAAAAGAAATCACTGTGACTTGAAGGGGCGATAAAAGAAGAGTGAGACCATTCTTTCTGGGTGCAGGGCACATTCCAGTCCACTTCAGCAAGTTCATCTTGTTATTGGTAAAGATCCCATAACAATCTTCTGTAAGCTGGAGCTCTTAACTCAGCCTGTGACTTCTCTTTGTGGTGTAAGGGTGGGTTGAAAATCCTTGTGCTGTAAAAATGATAGCTGCATGTAGGATACTGAGGTCTAAAAAAATTCCCTTTAATTCACAGAGGAAGACCAGACCTTAGTCAATGAGGTTTATAAATATTTTGATAACGGCTACTGTTACTCATGAAGGAAAGAGCTGATGTTTATATGTGGAATTGATTCTAAATCCCTATGGTTTGAGGCACAAATCCATCAACTGAGGAGGCTGATTGGAAGGTCAAAACAGAACAGTAAGGTCTGATTGGAAGGTCAAAACAGTCTGTAATTTAGGATTTTGGTGCTTTCTTGTGGCACATCTAATGCTGCCTGCCAAAGAGCGGGTAGTTGACAGGATGTAAATTTAGTCCAAAGTTCCTGTTAATCAGTTTGGGTGTGGTCTTGCAAAGTATTTTCATTTTGCTTTAAATATGAATTAGGAAGGACCGAGTGAAATGGAATTTACTTCATAGTCTGTTTATTTGCTTTGAAGGTGTATAGCAGTTTCAAAAGCTGTATAAATAGAATTGGCTTTTTGCAGTTGCAGCTGGTTTATTGTGAATAAGTGATTTATGTCTTCACTGAGAAGGACAAAATTAAAACCTTTCTATCAAGTATTTGAGTTATTTTGTGTTAAGGTAGGAAATAAAGCTTTTGCAAAACACTTAAACCATTTAGATATAGGCCATGGACTTATAAAGTGCTGTGGCATTTAAATGCAGGTGGTGAAACTTAAAGGCCCTCAGTGAATATGAGATTTGAGATTCTGAAAACTTATGCCTGATCTTTCTTGAATAGCCTTTTACTAAATGGTTGACTGGGGTTTGTCTAGGTGTAGCRTTTTATTGGCACACAGCTGTCCAACTTGCATCACCTTAACTTAATAAATATAGTGAGCAGCTTCTATTTACAAAGACTGAAATTACAGTCTTGTGTTTTGATTTTGATTCTAATGAAATGGCTGTATTCTGTAGCCAGGAAACAATGAAAAAGCTGTCCTAATATTTACTGCCATTCTCTGCTGGCAGCAGCAAGTTAAACTGGACCACAGTGATTCTCAGGCTGTATCTCTGTGACCAGTTGGAACTTTCTAAACTTGATCTTTCCATGTGTGCCATAGGAAGCACCTGCTGGTCACGTGGTCAGTCAAGATGGGAAAGCCGTTTGGCTGCTTATTTTTCAGTGAGATTAATTCGTTGTTCTGTTCAATGTAGAGGGAAATTAGTTGTAAGAAGTGAGAGTCCACAACTAAGCAGCATTGGTGAGAGGGAGGATGCAGTACCAGCCTTTTCAGTGGTAGTGCTGACATATGCCAGATAAGCATTCATCAAACTTACAGTTTCATTGTCCAGAAAACAGCTGGCATCTACCAGTATTTTAGAATTATGTAAGTAGCATCTGTTCTTTACAGTAGACTGTTTGGATTTAAGAACTGTATCTTACAGTACCCTTCTGTTGAAAAAAGGAAAAAAATAAAACCATAGTTTAAATCCTGCATATTTATACCAATTTAAAGTGACCATTTAACTGCGGGCTAATAGTTTAATAATGAAATAGATGCTGAAATGACCCAAAGCTACCGTTTTCCACACCAGACTCAGTAATTCTACAAAGGGATGTATTATATCCTATCACCGAGAAACATTCCCTGTTTAGCATTCACCTGAAAGTTAGATGCGACACAATATAATGTTAAAAATAGAAATTTTTCAAAATATTTGTTGTTTGGTGATATAAAATTCAACATGTTATGATAAATGCCATGAACTAGACTGAATCAGCCACACCATTTAATGCTGAAACAATGACTTAGCAGGACAGTTAAAATCACTGAAACAAAGCTACAAATCCTTATTAATTCTTTTGAATAATGAACCATGTATTAGATTAATTGGCATTATTGTTTCCCCAGTGGTGCAAAATGTGTTTATTTCTAAAATGCTTCAAGTTGGAAGGAATATGAAGTTTTGAAACCATCCTGGTTGTGTATCATAGCT